AATTTTTAGAAGACAATTTAAATCGAAATTCGAACTTTTGAAGCCAATAAAACAAATAATAGGGAACTACTACTACTAAGCGTAGAGAAAAGGTACTCAGCTAATACCTGTTCTTTAGCTAAAATAGCTTCTTGACGTTTCTTTTCTTTTTCCTAAAGGAAAAGAGTAAATAAATAAAAAGTATATAATTAATATTTAATTTCAATGAAAGTTGCGAGTTCAAAAATGTGAAGTTTTAGTTTTGTAATTCTTTTTTAAGAAACTTTAAAATTGTTCAAATGAAAATGTGGCGAACAATTACTTTTTAAGCACACTGTACCTGTTGTTTCTTGAGCAGCTCCTCTTGCTTGATGCGTTCTAGTTCTTCCTGACGCTTCTTGCGCGCCTAAAATGAGAAAAAATTAATAAGTAACAACAAGACCTTCCAACAAGAGACAAGCCTACGCACCTCAATCATTTGCTGGTTTTTTAACTCCTTTTCTTTACGTTGCTGCTCAAGCTTCTCGTTTTTTTCCTGCCGTGCTTTTTCCTTGTTGCGCGCCACTTCCTCCTTCTGCTGTTTCTTCGCATCGCGTAAAGCCTGCTGTTGTTTAGCAATCTCGATGCGTTGCTCCACATTCAAGGTTTGGCGTGTGAAAATCTTCAAATCCTCCAAACGCTTTGCGACATCCTCGTCGGTCATGCGTATGTATTCGCCATCGTTAGCGTATGGCGGCGGTGCGGGTTGTAGGAATGAACCGACTATAGCACGTGATGAAAAGCTGAAATTGTCACGCGTCAGCTTCGATGGATTCTTCTCCAAATGCTGCAAAGGGAAATTGAAAGAACATTCAAAATGCTGCACTTATGCTAGTGGCACACAAGAGAGGTAGTAAAAGTTGTCTACAAACTCACAGAGATCACTTGACCGATATTCTTCAACGGCACTGTGCTACCGGGCGCATAGTAAACAACTTCGCCCCGTATTTGACCGGCCTTCGTTAGGCCACGTATGACCGTCTCACGTTTCCAGCCCAAATCCAGTGGCACACGTAATTCGGTTACATTTAGAATGTTGGCATCTTCGCTCTCCGATTCGGAGAGCCCACTTTCGGCGGCAACGCTTTCGGAGTCGGTCGATAGGTCCAATTGTGCATTCGCTTCATTTAACGCCTGWCGGATTTTCTCCTGCAATGAAGAAGAAAAGGTTGAACAATTTCGCACTTCTACTTAARCTTCACACCTGACACTCACCAAATCAGCGCCTTGCTGCAGCAACTGCTGTGTAGCTAGCATTGGTTTTATGCCCACTGCACGAGACTGGGCCAGCAATGAAGCGACAGTGTTCTTCTTCGGTTTMGACACGCCGCGTCCGAGATTGCGCGGCCGCCCCTCCTTAAAAGGCGGTTGCCCTGAACGTTCACCACCACTACCGCCACCGCCACTACTGGAACCGGCGGAACCGCTGCTGCCCGCATTCCCACCACTGCTGCTRGTGCCACTACCTGGCAGCGGTGTGCTACTGCCACCGCCCAGCGCTGCTGTTATCGAAGTCAAGCTTTGCAGACTATTCGAACCACCGCTGCCCGTAGGCACTGCCACAGTGCCGCCCATATTCACCGGACTGCTGTAATCGCTACAGCCGCCCACCATTGAGGATGACATGCAGGCGGAGGAACTCTGTTTATCAGCTGGTTTCATTGACAAATTCAATGGCGCATCATAGTCTTCGATCATTATGGGATTGGCCGCGGTACCAATGAGTGCTGAGGCTACTGTTGTGGCATTGGTCGTAGCGGTGGAGGTGGATGATTTCATGCTGAGGTTCACACCAGCACCGCTGCTATTGTCTCCCGTTAAATCAAGCAAGTCTTTGTTTTTATTCGATAGATTGTAGGCGCCGTTCGAGGTGATTGTTGGCGGTAGTTTGATCACTTCGACACGGTCCGTTGATGAGTCACGACTATTGCTAGGTGTGGCATTTAACGTGTTTGCGCCCAGTGCGTGCGTATCTAGACGTCCTGTCGGGTTGCCCAAGCCGCCAACACCACCCAAAGCACCCAAACCGCCGAGTCCAGGCAAACCCATCGGTGCACCCATGCCAAGTCCGCTGGCGCTTAAGGCTGCCGCTGCGGCCGGACCACTCAATTGTCCGAGCGCAGCTGCCGCAGCCGCTGCCGCCGCTGCTGCTTGTGCTGCGGTGGTTGCATTTGTGCCACCAACACCGATGCCACCGAAACCGCTAGCTGCGGCCACATTTAAAGCATGCTGGTGTTGCTGTTGCAATTGTTGTTGTGCTTGTTGCTGTTGCTGTGCCTGTTGTTGCTGCTGCTGCGCTTGTTGTTGCGCCTGTTGTTGTTGCTGCTGCGCTTGTTGTTGCGCCTGTTGTTGGGCCTGCTGTTGCTGCTGCTGCTGATGTTGTTGCTGTTGGGCTACATTAACTGCTGCCGCCATTGCTGCATACTCCATTTCGAGGCGTGCCCGCTTGGCCGGACTCAGACCTGGTATGGAGAGCAGCGAGGAGAGGGCATTTGTGGCGTCCAGCTCTTGTTTTTGCAATTGCTGCTGTTGGAGTTGTTGTTGTTGTGCGAGTAATTGTTGTTGCTGTTGTTGTTCGTCCGAAATGGTTTTCTTACGTCCACGTGAAGTAGTGCCGGGTATTTTGGGTCCCACAATCGACGATGTATACTTAATGATCTCCGTATCGGGCGGCAGTCGTACACCCAGCAAGGATTGGTGATCACTGTAAGACGAAGCGACGAAATGTGCGTAAAATAAATGAGAGCAGCGATTAGTAAAAAGCGATTGTAACGTAAAACACAAACAGAGTTGCATTCCAAGTGCCGAAAATATTTAGACAAAAGATGATATGAAGTAAATAAAGAGCTGAGAGCATATGTGAACGGATGTATGACACGTGACTGAGGAAATCTTATAATACTTTGATAAAATTTTGCGGATAAACCGTTACTATGTAACACCGAGTGTACATACATATGTTACTGTTATTGACCAACTAGAATTTTAATTTTAACCACTTTCAGAGTGACAGAGAGAGAGAGAGAGAGGCATTCATATTCAGATTTTACTGCATGCTGCGCCAATTGTTTTATAAATTATATTAGAAAGCTTTTATAGCGATATCACTGAGTATATGGAAATGTATGTGTGATATGAAATTTGGTGTCTGTGTCCCAAAAAAAATACCATTTACAACAATTTAAATATATGTTATGTAGTTAGAAGAAATTTGATCACAGTTACACAGTTGATGAGCGTATGCGCATGATTTCAACAATAACAAAAATAATCATTAACAAAAATCAGGGTCTTACTTTCCTTCCAGTGCAGCACTACGTAAACCAAGGTGTACATAGTATTATATGAGTGTACATAAGTGGTAAATTCATTAGTTTGTGGTGGAAAACGTACCAAATGCCGAGAATAAAAGAAATGCAGAAAAAATTATAAGCAAAGTTAGAAACCAAACAAAAATATTTTCCACAAAAAAAAGCYCATACTATCATTAAATTCTTATACTTTTGGACTTTCACTTAAATAAGAGCTTACAGCCGCTTCATCCATCACATCGSGCCCACCTAACACGAAATTCAAAGAAAAATTACACAAGAATCGCCGCACACTCACCTGAGTATGCYACTTGGCATATAGTCCTTGCCACCTTTGCCACCGCCGACCGCCGCGGACGCTGCTGCTGCCGCTGCGGCTGCAGCTGCCGGATTAGATGCGGCAAACGCGTTCATTGCGGCCTGCATGCTTTGCTGTGGGCTCATGCCGAGTGCACCGAACTGCGAAAGCGAGCTGAGSGCATTTAACGAAGCGTTATTCTTGTCACGTTCTGCTTTACTACTCGAAGCCGAACTATTACTGCCACCACTACTGCTAGCACCCATATTACTGCCACCGCTACCCATGCCACTGCTGCCGCCCAATGAACCGTGCGGCGACATTAACGCATTTATGTGATGCGCTGTGGAATTGCTGCCGCCCACATTACCACCCAAGGCGCTCAAGTGATGCATGGCCGCATTGCCGACACTGCTCATGGGTGAGTTTTTATTGGAATTGTTGCTGCTGCTGCCGCCGAGCGACGAGGAAGCGCCACTGGACATGCCTAGGCCACTACTACCACCACTGCCRCCGCCACCACCACTACTGCTATTGTTGTTGCTGCTGCTCTGATGTGACTGTGTATGATGATGTGATGATGATTTCTTCGACGATGAGGAACTGGAAGAGCCACCGGACGCGGCTGCCACTTGCATGGCCAACAATTCTTTATGCAGCTGCACTGGATCGTATGCCGAACCGGGTGGTGGAGGTAAAACCGGACTCACAGATGGTTTACTATAGCTGGTTGAACTCGACTAAAAGGTTTTTTTGGTACGAAAAAAAATTTAAATATTAATGAAACGCCAGTATTTAAAAAAATCGACTGCACATCAACACACGAACTCACTTTGTACGACGAACTACTGCCGCCACTACTGCCACCAACACCCGTGGTATTGCCTGCACTGCCACTACCTCCCATACCCATCGCAGAGGGGTTAAGCGAACCGCCCGCTCCCACCAAACCGTGCATGCCAGCCAAAGCCGCCGCCGGATTAGCACTAACGGCCGCTGCTGCTGCCGCCGCCGCAGCTGCAGCTAGATTCTGTTGTTGCTGTTGTTGTGCCTGCTGTTGTTGCTGGCGTTTCTCTTTGCGGGATTTACTTGATTTGCTGCTCGATGATGAACTACTGCCACTGCCTACATTACTGCCACCCGCACCGGCACCCAAAGCGCCAACACCACCACCGGCGCTGTTGACGCCCGTACCACCGGCACCGGTGGCACCACCCAGACCCAGTGCTGCTGGACCAAATGCAGCCATCACATCAGGATGTGCAAACGGTGAGAGGCCGGAAGCTTGGAGGCGGGTGAAATAGTCTTGAGCTGCCAGTTGAGCCATGGACCACCAACCTGCGAAGGGGAGCAAGTGAAAAAGCAATTTTTAAAGGTAAGTCGGCACAGATTTGTTTGAAGTTACAATGTCACTGATTTAATAGATGCAATCATAAAAACTTAAATTATATAAACATTTAGAAATAATAATAAGCCAAGTTAAATAAAAAAAAAATGGAAAAATAATATTAACTGTATGTATTCTTAATATTTTAGAAACACTTGTTTAAAATTTTTATTATTATTAACATATTATTTGTAATTTTATATGAATACATCTTTGGACGAAAAATTAAATAATTATATTATAAATATCACTATAATAATATTGTTCACACACTTCCTTCAGACACACAACTGCACATGTTGAATGATTCTATAAGTTGGGGAAGCTTAATGTCTTTTATTATAGGAGCATTTTCTTCAAACGACACCTAATCGTAATTCGAATGCGTTTGCTGTTTTACTCCCTTCTGATTATCAACCACAGAAATTATATAATATTTCGAATAAATTGCATATCAAGGTTTTAGTTGGAATCCCCACCCTTCAAATATAAAACCGATGGACTAACGAACGTGTCATTAAATACGTTGGAAGATATGCAACGAACAGACAACTGGTTATCACTAAACCATAAATAATCAAACCGATATATATATTTATGTAGCATAACAAAAATTAATGGCAAAATTTAAAGGCAAAGTTTCTCTTCTTAAGTTTTAAAGTTTCAATAAAAAATGCAATTAACTTTGACACAGTAAACAAACAATTTTGACACAATAAACACTTTAACCTTAAATTTTATCTTCAATATCCTTTAATTATATATCACAACCGTTCTAAAAAATATTACTACACTTTCAAGCCAACTAAAAATAATTTTTAATATACAATTTCCTCATAAAACCAACACCATTTTCAACGATCGTACAGCTTAACTCACTTGCTGGATGCAGACTAGCTAAACTGGCCGCCTGAGAAGCCGCCACTGCCATGGTGCTCTGATGATGATGTGATGCGGCGGCCGCGGCTGCAGCTGCTATCGAATAGCGATCATTTGCTGCACTAGCTGGATTTTGCAGCAAGCCCAAGCCGGCTGCTGCGGCAGCATTAAATTGTGAGTTGAATAGCGGATTGGAAGCGGCTGCGGCGGCGCTTGCTGGATCACGGCCCCAATAAGCTGCAAGTGAACAGAAAATATGTTAGTTATTACACAAAATAAAAGGTTATTAATATCAAACAAAATTTGGACTATAACAATGCAAATAAAAATCAGCAATTTGTTGCCTCAAGACTTACCGAATAGCGAGGCGGCATCCAACAATGCGGAGGGATCGTGCACTCCGGCTCCACCGCCCCCACTGGCGCTAGAGCCGGCCTTACCACTGCCGCCACCACCCAGACCGACGCCGACACCCGATTTACCATCGCTGCCGTCGCCGCCGGCATTTTTGTCCATGTTTTTCATCAAACTGGATGGATGATTGCTGTGGGGTTTTTTCTTATTGTTGCGTTTAATTTTGAAGGCTTTTCTTTTCTCACTTGTTCAAAATAAATTATTTTCCTAAGCGTCTTGCTCTCCACTTTTTCTTTGAAAGTTTCCCTCTGAAAAGAAGTCAATTACTTTCGCTGCTACTAATTTATTCCCTTTATCGTGTTTTTACTTTGTTTATATTTTATGCTCTACTTTTCTGGCCTGTACGCGTATTATTGCCAAATGTGCGTATTTATGTTTTTTTCTTTGTTTTCTTCTGCTTGCTTATTGTGCGTTTTCGCTACATTTATTTCGGCTTTTTATTACTTTATTTATTGCTGTTTATTTGCATTTAATAACTTCTACAATTTTAAATTCATTTTTGCTAATTCTCGAACAACATATATTTTATGCATACGAAGTCTCAGATGTTCATTGTTTTCCTGTCATATTTGGTGTAACTGCAAAGAGAGCAATACGGAAATGCATGTTATTAAAAACAGTAAAAAAAATTGCGAATAAATATAGAGAATTAGTATGAGTTGGAAGTTGTGGTTATGTTGGTAAAGAAACATGCTACATGTGCGCATGACACAAGTTTGACAGCAACAAGTTCGCAGCAGACATGTCGACGCGCTCAAGGGAGCAAAAAGTTTGGTGTATACTCTTTTTTTTTTAATCATTATGCTGTATCAGAGAACATAAAACATATATTCTCTGGCTGTATGCGCGATTCGCATAAATTCACTCTCTTTTAATATCAATGCATATGCTGTTGCCAGCAGCGTATGTTAGTAAACATTTACCGCGTGAAGTTTGTTACAAAATTAAATATGTAGCACTCTTTAGCCACCGTAGTCACAATTTTTAAAATCTAAAAATAACTTTCTGCTTTTAATATATTATATGTGAAACTTCCATATTCCAGCAACTTAAAAGTTCAAGGACGTTGCCGTTACGCAGTACAAGGTCATGTTCGCTTTTATACAAAGAAATATAACCTTGAACCCAATTCAATGAATTTCTATGACGTTTTTATTTACATACCTATATGTACATATATAAAGTCAAGATAAAAAAATATACATATAGATACATATTGTGTTCTCAACATTATTCGGTTAAGTTAGAAAGCTACCCTCGCAATAAATAAAAACGTTTTGAAATAATAAGGAGTTTCGTGTCAACCAAACGGTATCGAGATTTCAATACTCTGAAAAACTCTCATCTATAATTTGCGATTAATCCTTAAACAAAGGAATTTCAGTCCTTACAAGATTCTAAGAACTTTATCCGGGATATACATATGTATACTCATCGAGATTTGACATAGTCCATCGGTGTTTTTGGACTTCGCTCCCTTTCGAAATTCAAACCCACGATCCGTTGAATAAAATGAAGTAAAGAAGAAGAAAGTTAAAACAAAAGTTCCGTGAATTGCAGCATTTAAAAAATGCTACACTACAGTCGGGTCTACGTAACGGAAAGAGAGCTGGATTAATATATACCTCAGGACAATCAACTCAGCAGCTTTTCTGCTTATCAAATAAAAGATGGAATACAAGGATACAATATGAATAWGAATTCATAAACGCTATATGAAAACGTCTCACGGCCTACGAGGTTATAAGGGAAGATGGATCCATGTGTAGAAGTTCACGCAACTTCTTTGAGCGCCATTCACTTGGGAGTGGCAAGAAACGATTATTTTATATATGACTGGAGCAGCTCACGATTTCYGGTCTTAGACAAAGTATCCTCTTGGGTAGCCAAAATATCATCCGTTTGAAGACGAACTAAACTGAGTAGATGAAACATCCATAACCCGGGTTGTGACCCCCAAGGAAAAGAAGAAAACAACCTCGGATAATATCAACTATAAAATATAAATATACCATACAACTCAGTCCAAACACTTCCGCTGCTACAAAACCGGCCACGATAACAGACCTACCTCAACAATTGAATTTACTGCAATAAGATAAATAAATCGAGTGAAACACAGTAAACAATAAATGAAACTTGTTTTATAATAATATATAATCTTTGCCGGCAAAGCTCATAAATGTTGCATTAAGGAAAGAAAAGACGATGCAATTCATAGCGATAAAAACAAAACAACAGACCAAAACAAAAATAGAAACGCCACTTTTAGTTTTAACAAAAAAGAAAGAGGAACAAAAACAGAATGCGGATATGTGAGCAAAACGTAAATCAACAAAAAACAAAAATTATTTTGTAAAAGCAAGCAGCAATGGGTACACAAAACTAAAGTCAACCAGCGAGCTAGTGGACAGAGCGCAATGAGACACGAGCTGGTAGACGAAGAAAGATAATGAATGGAGCACAAGGTAGTGCGGCGAGCAAGCTGGTTGAGAGAGCATACTATAAAACACGGTAGGATTGCTTTTTGGTTTATCAATTTTTTATGAAACGAAAAAGCTGATGTTGCAGGAAGTGTGCAGTGTGTCAGTTGATTATATAATATCATAAATGTTTTTTAATAAAAAATATTAAATTTAAAATATTAAAGGCCCAACTATATTATGAATAAGCAAGCTTAAGTCAGCGTAGCAACTGTCCGAATACAGATAAATTGTATTCCGCAACTATAATCTACTTAACTGTTAAAATTTGTTTCGTTTATAATTTGTCAAACGTYACTTGCATAAGGAAAATGTGAACCTGTTCGCATTATCTGTACGGAAACAGCTGTTTCCGCTTTTTGCTAACTAATAAATTATTTTGAGTTTAAAAATGTAAGACGACAAACACTTCATCGAAATTTCAATTCAAAATATTGCGAAAAGAAATATTTGTACGGCAAACAAGATGCCTTTTATTTTAATCGGGTAAACAAAGAATTTTTTATTTCACTACAATATAGTCGTGCATTTGACAAGCTTTTTTGTTAATTTTTTGACAGTAATAAACGGCAGTGTGTACATAATATAGTTAGGTCTTAAATTTTAAATTTTTATACTTGAACATTTTTAGTTTAGATAAGGAGTTTTGTGAACACTTTGATTGGTTTCTGAGAAACCAGTTTTAACAAAAGAATTTTCCTTGGTAGTGTCTTTTACTTTATATAAAGAGATTGTATGTATAAAGCTTAAAATATATCAATCGAGGTTGAAAACTCTGCTGACGAAATAGGCATAAACATTATTTTAACGTTTGTAAAGTTTATTTGACCTGCGACGATGTGATGCTGCATTATCCAAAAAAAAAAATATTTTGATTTTGAAACGACACTYTTCCGTTTAACTTTTGTAGCCACACAGTTATTATCTCTCGCATCATTAATGTTTTTTTTTTKTTTTWAATCAGATTTCCAATCAACTCGAAGTTTATCCAGAAAAAGAAGTTTAAATACATGAGGATGGGTTTGCAAAAGCATCTCCTTTTCCCTGTTACACTTAAGATCCAAGGTTATTTGAGGAAATCTACGAAAAAATAGTCCGTTAATGTTCGCATTGTAAATATTTTGCAGTTTGAATGCCTGAATGTCTACATTCGTATTAAAATAGGAATCACAAATTTCAGTTCAAGACACCAGTTAATAGGAATGCTAGTCTGTTTAGCAGTGCTAATTTGGCTAATTTGTACAAACTATTTGCAAAATACTATCCGTGTCCGGTTAAATGACTAAGATGACGGAACTAAGTCGATTTAGATGTGTGACCAAGTGGCCGTCCGTCCGTCTGCGTTTATATACGCGAACTAGTGACTACACTTTGATATATCAATCTTAAATTTTGCACCCATCTTTTTGTCTCAAGATGCTGCTCATTTGTTGAAATCGCTGATATCGGACCACTCGAACGAGAAAAATCAAGTCCTCGTGTGGAAAACTTTTTTAATTTGACAAGGTAACTTCACAAAATTTGATATGCATTACTGTTTAAAACAACGGTACACCGTCCCGAAAAAGTGTTCAGATTCGACCACTGAAGCGTATAGCTAGCATACAATGTGATGGGTTTCGGTACAACTTTTTGTTTCTGTTTGAAAATATAAAACGTTATAATATCCGATGTCYGATTATGCGAGCTGACCGGTTATAACGTCTGTCCGTAACGGACACATTTTATGGTATATATTTGATTTAATATTTAACAAAATAAGCCTGTTTTAATAGATAAATGTAGAGGTATGTTCTTTGGCTTTTGTTCTTCCGTGTCTATAAAAACGTTTAACCAAAAAAGTGAAATACATCAAGCACTTAAAAATTTYATCATTGAAATTTTGAAAAAATCACTAAATTCAGAACAATAGAAGCAGGATACATAACCAGCTGAGTTAAAGCTTTAATTCTTGATTGTGTTTTGTTGTTGAGTTTTTATAACCGAAATATTATATTTTTATTACAGAAATATTATATTTTTATTACCGAAATATTATATTTTTATATTGAAATAATTTTTTTCAAGAGTTGAAGTTTTATTTAAAATCCGTCAAATTTTTTAGAATAACATATGTATATCAAAATGTTTACGTAATAAATCGWCTTTACTTATTACTTTTCTAACACTTCCAGTATATAACCATGTTTCTATGTAGATATGTATGTATGTATGGAGTATGTCCATATGTTTGAATTGAAGTCAGGTTGAATGAACTTTGTTGGGTTAATTTTATTATTATTTATTTTTACACAAGAGCATTTAAACTTCTGTTTATATATGTATGTATGTATGTCAGTTGGCAAGTGTCAACTCTTTTTCCCACTCAGCTCACAAGCACACATTATAATGCTACACAAACACACTAAAAAAAAACATATATTGCAATAAATTTGCAGAAAATAGTATTCAAAATTATTATTAATTTGAATTGTTCTACTACACAGCCACTCGTTTTTAGCGCAAATTTTAATTAACACTATTTTGTTTATATTTTTTGAAGTGCAGTCGAATTTTCATACGACGCTGCATACGCTTAGCGATTTGTTTTTGCCATTTCTCCCTTATGAAGTGCGCATGAAGCGAACGAGCGCAAAAGACACGCAGCGAGAGCGCGACATTGTACTAAAAGCCGACAAGCGCCGAGAGTGCCAGAGATCAACGACGAAAGTGAACACATAGAGAAATGGCAAACAGCGCTGCTACCAACACACCTGCRATGACGGCGATGCCGCAGCGCTGCAGACCRCGTCAGCGTTGAGTGTATCTATGAGTTTATCTGCAGATACATGCAGATGCTTGTGTGTGCGTGATGCGTACGCACRTCTGCTTGGTTTATAATTTTCACAGCGTAACGCACTTACGATTTCATTCATTATACACAATTTTAATTTCGGTTTACACTTTGCTTCTYGAGTTTCGATAATAATGCTCGTATTTGGCGTCTTTTATTGGTAGATAAATTGAAATTACCAGAAATAATCACGGTTTCTTATAGTTTAGCTGAGTGCACTGTATTTTTCTCACCGGCTTGTATGCGTTTTTAGCAACTAGCG